CGACGAACAGCCGTGGGGTGGGGGGAAGCGGCAAACGAACGTCCGAAGAATCTCGATGGCGCGCTCCCCCTCCCCCAGGAGTTAGGGATAAACATTTTGTGTTGTATCAATTTTTACGCGAGATTTCTCTCAGTGAGTTGAACCCAGATTAGTAAAAGTATTTGATCCATCGATAAGTAATGTTCTTCAATTGAACTGATAAAAATTCGAATAATTTTATTAATAAATATAAAAATGCCCTCCTTCATGATTACGCTACTGCTAATATTAATGATCTGATGACCTGATGTATACAACTTAAACAATTATTATGTTAAACATGTAAATATCCCTTTAAATAAATTATAATTTAAACATGTTTTAAATTCACGCAAAATTAGTATTGTTAAACTGTATTTAAAATTGATAAGTGTTAGTTAGGTTCTTATGTTTTATATTTTTATATTTTTTTTTTCTAGTATAAGGATTTTTGTAATTTTACGTTGGCTACGTCAGCTAGGTAAAAAAACTTTTTTTAATTATTATTAGAATACGGGAAATTAATTTTTTTAAGGCTGGCACAACCGACCTCCCGAAAATTGATTTTGGCGATATTTTGCTGTTATCAAAATCGAGAGAACTGTACCAGCCCCGTCAATGCACACAAATAAATTTTAACATATTAACGGGAAAAAAAAACTAATTTTTTTCATTTTTAGTTAAAATGTTATCATTAGTTTAATTTACATAGTTTTCACATACAGTGAAAAAATAAATAATAATGATACATTTTATATACATAACGTACGGCACTATAAATAAAGAAAAACGACTCGACAGGAGTAGTTGTGACGTTTGTGCATAATAACTAATACTTAAAATTAGGAAGTTAAAAGTTATACTACAATTATATAAAATATCTTTTTTGGATTAAGTTTCCTATGATATTTAATCTTATATACATACATTTACGTAAAACTATAAATTACAAAATTAAATCTTCATAGGAAATTCGAACTTGTGAAACATTATTACAAATAAAATATATAATTACTAAAATAGTTGATGAATAATAATATAAAAAAAAGAACCGTTTATAATTATTTTAAACACATCTTTCTCTTTGTTTTTGATGGTAAACATAAAATATTAATTACCTAAACAGGGTCCAAATGTAAATTAATTTGAAAGCTTATGAAAACAAAGTCGTAAGAATCATTTAAATATTCATCGTATAGCTTATATTAAATATGGTTTAAATTTTAAAATAAATAATATGGCGAAATATGTTTAAGGTGGGTCTTCGATAATACGAAAACTAGTCTTTGGTGAACATTTGATATTATTTCGTTGAAATGTAAGCAGACATGTGGATATAGGATAAAAATCTGTAGGTCAGATTATTTTAAAACTAAATTTTAGACAGTTAAATTCTGTGCACACAAATTGCGTCCCGAAATATTTTTTCCACATGAATTGTGTCCAGAGTTTTCTAAACGACTACACAACTTGCATCCTAATAATATTTATCCACTACATGAATTACATCCCAAAATAAAAATAACATTTTCCTTATTATTTTATATACCAAGTTACTACTAAAGATAGGTTAAAATTTTTTTTTTTTTAGTTATTTTGTAATTACGAGTAGAAGTATATAAATTCAATTATATTAAGTTATATTTATGATTATATTAAAAATTAAAAGATTAAATTTAGATTAAAAACAATTATAAGATTGATGCAAACTTAAACGATATTTTTTTAATAAAATTCTAAGTTCAAATTCTATACTTTTATGCCCGCGGGCGCCCATTGTTGATCATTATTACCATGTCACATGACCCGCCGACGACCATAAATTCATATTTGAACAATTGTTCATAATTTTTGAGGCACTACAATAATGAATATTTAAATAGTACCATGGCGTAATGAAGAACATGACAATTCTTTTGATATAAAATAAAAACAAAATTTTGTAAATTTTAACCTTTGAAAATATTTAATGAAAATGATAATATTTATAAATACATTTTTACACTACTTGGTGTGAAATACAATTTATAATAATAAAAATACTTAAATATTGATTAACTTTATGAAATTATTATATTAAAATAAAGTAATTTATAAATATATAAATTGTATACTTTGTTGTTTAAAAAAAAACATTAAATCAATACATTTTAAATATGACTTTTGTTAAAGCAATCTATGCATGTGTATATGTAGCAAGTAGAACAATATGAACAAAACGTTTGCGAGAGCAAGAAAATTTAAGAAATTATATAAAAAATTTGCAATTAAAGTATGAAGATAGTGATGAATTAAGGCGTTATAATTTCCTTATAGGACGTTTGCGAGAGCAAGATTTAAGAAATGCTATAAAAAATGTTAAAAAATGTTCCAAAAAAAGTAACGAAAATGTAATACTTAGAATTATAAAAGCCATACAAGATATGTTTTAAAATACTAAATATTTATTTTTATTTTTCTTTGCATGCTTAACTATTGAAGACTATTAAATCAGTAGCAACAGCAAATAGAATGACATCATCCAGTAGATTTGACTTCAGTTCAATCGCCCTTTTTTTCGCTCAAGGGCTTGACCTTGCCAGCAGTACTAATGTTCATGAAATACATGTTTCTTTTAACCTCAGCCCAATTATAAAATTGAGCCGGTGGTATATAGACATATAAGATTTGGATATGGGTGAGCGTTTTGTGCATAGCCCAATGAATTTTGAAATCGGTTTCCTCACATTACACAATAGTAAAGAGGTTAGTTTTGCGGCCGGAAACGAACAGAACATCACTATTTTGTTGAGTTCGGGAATTATAAAAAATTTATTGGATTATAAATAAAATATACTATAAATATAATAACCAGATGACTTGGAACAATTGTGTTTTATTTTGATAACAGCGTTTAATTTTATGGTAAATAAACGAAATCACCATAGCCACGAAAAGTTATGTAAATGTATGATTTACTACTTGCAATAAATTTGTTATAGATGTTTATTTATTTATTTATTTATTTTTATTTTTATTTTATTTATTTTTTATAAATTATATGAAACGTAAGAATGTTTTACACTTTAAAATTGGTGGTATCACGTCCTCTTCTTCTTATTCTTATTTTTCTTTTTACTTTCTTCGGAACAAGGTTCTCTCGGTGTTTGAATCTTTAATTTCGACATTAAATTGTCAATACGCATATTAAGACGCCTTATTTCATCTCTAAGTCTATTAATTATTTGTTCATTTTTTTAGATTATTCCTTAATTCTTGTTCTTGCAAATGTGTTCTGTTAGGATATTTTGACGCCTCAATTCCTCATGTATGAACATCATTGATTGTAAATTTTTTATACTACCAATTTTTAAATTTCCTAGCTCTTGCTTACATTTTTTTTCTTTTCCTTTTCTTTTTTTTTTTTCATTTGTTTTTCCGTTGCATTCTGGACCGCATGCTTGACTTTTGAAGACTATTAAACCAGTACCAACAGCAAATATAATGACATTAAACAATAGCTTTGACCCCACTTCGATGACTCTTTCCTCGCTTAACGGCTCGACTTTTTAAATAGTACTTGTTCGTCAAATACTTGTTATAAAATTGAGCCGGTGGTACAATGACATATGATTTGAATACTGGTGAACGTTTTGAATATTGTTCAGTGGATTTTATAATCGGTTTCCTCTTATGAATCAGAAAATATACACATTTTTTGGCCGGAGTAATACATAATACATTGAAATACTTCATTTTGTTTCGCTCGGAAATTGGATTTATGTAGGTGACTTGAAATAATTCAATTAAAAGCGTTTAATTTTATGGTAAATAAGCGAAATCACCATAGCCACGAAAATTTATTTCTCCGAGTATAGTACTTTAAGTACTTTACTTTTAATATGGCCAGTTCTTTTTCCACCGCTAACACTCCTAAGCTCGATAGCCTTTTTTGACACATGGTCGCACGTAAAACATTTTCAGAATATATCAAATACAGAGAAAGAGCGTTCTGCACTGGCTACTGTAGCAGGAATTATGATAAATATAAGTTATTATATAAAAAATAAGTAAAATTTTCCTGAATCTTGGATCTATTATAAATATTATAATAGACAAACTAAAGAGTAAAGAGTAATAACATGGAATTATCTGATTGTATAGGTAAGAATTAGAATAATGAGGCAAATACAACTGGTCAGTATCAAACATTTTAACCAGTATCCTTCAGCAAAATTTCAAAGCATTATTTATTTTTATTAACTTATAGGTACTTCGTTAGCTTGTTATATTGTTGATACAAGTTTGAACGAGAAATGAATTTAGATAATAAAGATGTCACAATATTATAAATTAAATTAATTACTACTGTTTTATTAATTATTATAGAAGTACAGAATTTGAATTTGAAAAAAAATAGCTGCTGAGGATTTGATAGAAATCATAGGTTAGATTTCTAATTTTCTTAAAAATAAATATGTGAAAACTAAAAAAGGATGTTTTATTATAGAAATCGGGACGATAGACGAGCTATTTAAAAATGGAAAATTTACATATTAGATATCAAGATGACTTTTTGAATATAATAATAAAGTATCTAAATCTTAAATCTAAATATTATTATTTTGACTATACCTACTTATCAGTTATCCAGGAACGTAGCTAGGATATTTTTTTTTAGGTAGGACCACTATAAAACGTCTATTCACCAACGGAAGTGGAAATTTTCCTGATTTTTTTTATTAGCCTACCAAAATTTCAAAGTTGTCAATGATTCTTATTTATTTGTCAATTCTTATCAATACTTGAATAATAAATAACTTAAAACAAATTGAACGAAAAAATAAATAGATAGTTTTAAAAGGTACAATTTTTATTTAAGTACCTAAATATGAAAGTTTTACGAAATACAATTATAAATATTAATATACGCATTTTTAATTTATTCTCAAAGTAAAAATTCTAATCTTCTTTTCTTCATGACAGCAAACTCGTTAATAATAGCTAATGAATTGATAAATTCAATCCATAAATTGTCCACTTATTTCCCTTTCTATAAATATTATTTAGTCTCGAACTTTTCATAGTCGATCTGAGGTATGTTTTCCTCTGAGAATTCCAATTCCCTTAACGGTTGTTGAGCATTGTCATATGACTGCGGTTACGGATTATTATTTTACAGAAATCGTCAAACATCTCACTTCTTACATCACCAAAAACTTTCCAATCGCATTATAATTAAAAAAATTGTATCGAGTCTATCACCGAAAAATTATTATACGAGTTAAACTTAAATTCGGGCAGAATATATTGTAGTGTGAAACATAATCGATTGTACATTATTGTAGATGGCTAAAAGTGTTTAGTATTTCAGGACAAATATCTCCCGACGGTTAAGGGACTCGAACCGATTGCCCCCAGCGTGATCCAGGATATCACATTATCCTTTTCCCCACCGAGGGCAGCGACTCGATCTGACCCGTTTCGATGCGCCTATCCTGCACTCGTGAGCATCCCGAGCACGTTTGGGAAGCGGTCAGGGAACACACTCACCAGTACACTGGCCTGTCCGGTGTAGATGAAGTCCAGCACGGTCTTCATGTGCGCCTCCTTGATCTCCGGGAACTGGAGCACCAGGTTGTGGTACATGCACACGTTGTCCTCTTTGAGCAGCCGGCGGACCAGCGGGCTGACCGAGGCCAGCACCAGCGAGTGGGCGCGGATGGTCGCGCCCTGATCGCACATCAGCTCCATGTCCGAGTGCTCGTCGCCGGCCTGCTGGATCTCCGCCATGAGGTACACGTGGTGGTTGCCATAGTGTAACGTCAACGGGGCGGCGTTGCCGCATTCCGAGTCCGTATCATACATCATTCAACTGTGGCTGCGCATGCAAAAAAAAAAAAAAAAAAACACGCTTTAGCACAAGCATACGACTCGGAATAATATCGTACGTCGTACACGACGTTAACGGGCACGCAACGACGATGACGATAAATATTACGAGACGAACATAAATAAAATAATAAAAAAAAAAAGCGAAGGGTAAAACAGAGAAAAAGCGCACTGTCCGACGTGCACTATTCGTCATGTGCGTACACGCAGAACAACACACTCGTGTACGTGTGTGAGGTTGGGCTCTGGAAAGGGACGCGTATGTCGCACACGTCACACGTCATTGTGCGCACGACGTCTGCTGGGGATCGAAACAGACAAGCTCGGAGGGTTTACAATATAAACGGATCCGGATCGCGTATACCCAGTCAACATTTGTTTTCATACTTCTAATATTGTAATTTTTAATATACATATATTAATTGTAATAACCAAACAATTATTTTTATTTTTATACTGCTATTTTAAAAATATAAAGATTTGAAAAAGATTTCTTTCACCGAACCTCGTTGATTTATTATTTTAAGCCTTAGGACTCCAATGTAAATTACTTGTCGACCCCTGGCTTATATCATCGTCATCGTGCACCGGAAGCGAATCGATACGTAATGTGCGCTTCCGACTGCGAAATATTACAACAAGATTCTGTACGATGTCCTTGACAATAATAATAATTGGCGAATAATGACAAAATATTCCAAACACACGTACCCTGTATACATGTTTTCATATGTATCGCCGTCCCTCTGGACACGTTTTAAATCCTGTTTCCGTACCGGGTAAAGTCGACGTGCATATGTTATCATACGTTATCGGTACGTAATCGAAAAGTAATCTTTTTCCGAACAACTACTTCAGCGTAACGAACCGCACTCAGAACCCTCCGCGGACGTGCGAAATGAGAAAATGCGAGTGATCGAAAGTGTTTGTGCACCGTCGACGTCGAGTGCTCGTCGAATTTCCCCCCCTCCCCCCCCGTACTTTCGTCGTCATAATAAGGTCTACTAGGTATATAATTATTATTATCGTTGTATCATTCGGTCGTATAATACGCGCGTGTTGAACCACCGTGGCCCGTTGTTGTCGACGAGTGTGAGCTTACAAAGATCGCGTTTTATCGAGACACGATAATATTTACTATACTCGTATTTGCATGGAAGTCGTACAGAAATAATCATCTTCTCTTACGAGACCCTCGACAATAATATTCAAACATAAACATACATTACGCGTAACAATACCGCTTCGAGAAACTAATGGTTTGCCGATACGAATCGTTACGAGGTATTGTTTGTCTTCGAGTTTAATGCTCGTTCATATTTTTTATGATTTCACCGCAATCCTGTATATTATCGTACTATTATGCACCGTACACGATAATAAAACCCATACGAATGCGATGCCCACTCACAATTAAATAATTTCAATATACATTTGTACGTTTGTGTTAGTGTATAAACTTGACAGCTGTTCGCCATCGATTAATGAAAATCATTTAGTCGAGGTCAAGCCGTTTATAATTGTTATATTTATAGCTGTACGTATTATCGAAGAGTCGGTATAAAAATATTTTGCGTCACATGTTTCATATGTAGTCTAGTAGAAACTATCTAGTCGACTCGCGCAGCAGGACCTGTACAAGTGTGCTTTTTTTAAATTTGAGCGTAAAATGTCTCATACGGGCGACTACGTTTTCGCAAAAGTAATGCCTAGCAATCCGAGACCGGAACTTAGCCGAATCGAACAAAAGTTTATACAAAATATAGCTGCACACGAACTATGTGTACACTGAATTGTTGATTTAACGTGTCAATATTGTACAAACTCCCAAGTTTAAGTCAAAATAAACGAGTCTTCTAAAAAATAAAACAAGTTATTATCCGCTATGAATTTATATAAGAAGTTTCTTGATTTCTCCGGCCCATACTATCCCTGGAGAAATATATATGACAGTGCACTCCATCTCATGAAATATGCCACTCAAAAATGTCTCAACGTATTATCTCTTGTCATTTATTGTACTTGGCGTTAAAAGTGACAACTCCTCCTCCTTAGAGAGAAAAAAAAACTCTTAACCGAGTTCAAAACCATACTCGATTATTTTTAAAATATATCACCAACGAGTTTCTCCAAAAAGTTTTTACCATAATTTCCTAACGCGAACTTGATAATTACATTTATAATTAGTTTGTACGTAATGACGAACAATGGCCTTCGCGTCGTACACATTATAATGTATACATAATGATGTGTTATTACTTCACAAGTACTCGAGTATATGTTTAGGAAATGAGATAGTATTTCAATTTGTCAAGTATGCGTAGAACAAATTAATGATTCGAACCGTTTCCAGAATTGTAACCAACAAGACGGGAAATTAGAGCGGCTGCAGCATAGTTTGTATACTTACGCACGTGGCGGAGGGGAAAACGTTTTAATATTTGTATTTTAAACACGTCAAAGAGTTAACGTGCACAGTGCAATCGTAAGTATATTTACATTATAATTATCTGGATTGCGTAATCGAAATACTCTTTGAAAACGTCGGAAAAAAAACGGATTCGTACAAACATCACGAAACACGCATACGCCCGTACTACCGCTACTGCTCCGAAGTCAGTGTACTATTTGACAAATATAATAAGGTGCCGGGGACACTTGTTGCAGGCATGGTTGAGAATGATGTTCGTTTTTATTTTTATTTATTATAGGTACTTGTGTCGCACAAAAGAAAAAAAAAATCAACGCGTGGAAATATATACGAGTCACATACAAATATGGTAAACTTGTTGCACTTAAGTTCGCTCCGATACACACCTGTTGACGACGCTACACACGCGTATACTCCTTGTGAAAAGGGAACTTGGCGCGTGGTAATTAATAGGTGAAAGGTGTAGCGCGTCCGTCGGATGTTCAAAACCGAAATCCGACCAAACTGATGATAATTCAACAAAATTATTCTATAAATCGGATCCGAGAAAAAAAAAAAAACGAAACACGTACCTAGTTAAAATCGCACTCTAAAACCGTGATTCACGTGGACGGGGTACCGTGCGGTCAATTATATAACAAAAATATTATCCAAACACATGCAATAATAATAATAATAATAATAACGGTGTACGTATGCTCGCGTTGAAACGGTACGCGACGACGGAAAAGCCGATAGAAAAATCACGTTCCCTCGCGTATTATCATCGTCGACATTAAATTCAGTACACTTTTGTACGCGTGCGAGGACGAGGGATAAGGATTTGACGAAAGTCGTACACGGGCCACGTGTTTGACGAGGAGAGGAGAGAGAAAGACGTAGAAGAAGAAGAAGAAAAACGAAACGTTATCCAGGTCACACAGTGCTCCGTTTTCGGCCCATTACGTAACCCTGGCAAATAATCTCCGGCCACTACTACTACTACTATTACTACTACTACTACTACAACTATTACCACTACCACTACTACTACCACTACCACTACTACTACTACTACTACTACTACTACTACTACTATTACTACTACTATTACTACTATTACAACTACTATTACTACGATATCGCGTACCACTTGCATATATGCACGTACGGTGTAATGGTAACGTTCGTAACACGACGTGCGCTAATGATTTCGACACGGCGGTGTCCTTCCACACACGCGCACGAATGCGCGCACGCGCACACACGTCCAACCCATCCGCGCCGCTTAACCTTGGACGGGCCCCGCGCGCCGGCCGTCGGAAAGCGGGGAAAGTGGGAGGAAAGGAATATTATAAAAAAAAAATAATAATAATAATAATAAAAGTGAAAACCCAGTGTTCGGAACGTCCGCGAGTGCAACACGTACGTGCGCGCGACACGGCGACGGGGACAAGACGAATAGTAGAACGGTGTACAAACGATCGATCCGCCGAGGCGATAGAACGGAAACGAACGATGTTTCCCAGACGGGAACGGGGACGCGACCGGGGCACTCGCCCAGGGCCTCGCGTGCATACGATAATATTTGATCACGAAAAGTGTTCTCAACGAATTTAAAATTTAAATACGTTTACGAAATGTAAAAAAAAAAAAACAAGTTTCCGTAATTTTTTAACCCGATCGGGTACTGCATCAAGAACGTAACGTGATATTATACGCAATCGGTTTTTATTTCTGTTTGATTTCGGTTAGGTCGATATTCATTCAAATTGTTTTCCCCCCGGAACGACGACGTCAAACAACATATACCGTACATGACTAGACGTATAGATCGAGAACCGTTGTTCTGGCGTACCTATGGATTTCGATATGATGTTGCAGGGCCTCGAATTCTGTTGATGCCCAGGGCCTCGAATTCTGTTAATGCCCAGGGCCTCGGCACGGTAACGTGGAACCCCCGTGCACTGTGGGGGGGGGGGGGGCGTTGCGTGCGCGTTACCATCATCATCGCCGTGCGGCGCGACGACGGTGAGAGAAGAAAGGTTGAAAGGCGATATCGGCGGCGGCTGTTCGCCCCTTCGCAACGCGATTATGTAACACCGCTGCCGCCGCCGTTCCGTGAACTTTCACATCGTATCACACGCAAGATTGTGTGGCTCGCGCAAGCGTATCAATAATATTTGTATACACCGTGAACGAATTATCGCAGTCGCGAGCCGACCGACCGCCGATGTCACCGACGGACTCTGTGAACCTTCCCTCCCTCACCAAAATATTAAACATTATCGCAATAATAAATAACCATATTATGTTCGACCACTTCGAAACATCCATGAACAGTAAATACTTGTACAAGCATATTGGAAACATATAATTATTAAGTTAAATTAAGCTGCACCGTCCAAATTCGTTGTTAATATCAAATGTTAATTTGTTATGTAAGACTACCCGGCCAGTAATATCCGCGCACGCTTATGAGATGAGGTGTACCGTACGTGACGGACATGACAACGCCGTGGTGCTGAAGACGCGCGCGCGAGCGATTCCGAAACGGTAAAAGTAAAAGAAAAACCTAC